CATTATTATTGGCAAATTGTATTTAATTTTAGATAATTTCAATGTAAATATGAATTTCATTATTCAAAACTATCATCATAAAAGAGTTGTATACTATAAATATGTTTGCACAAAATGTCACGAAATTCATATTGAATATAATCGCTTTTTCATGTTAAATATTGATCATATTCATATTAATTCTGTTATTTATAGTCTTAAGAGACTATTATTATTGTGTAATTCATATAATTTTTAAAAATCATTTTATCTCAACTAGAGTGTAATTTTAACTAAAGTGTATAATCTGAAATTAATAGTGGATTATTAGTAGGATTTTAAATAATATCAAGGTCACCGTTTGGTATGTTTACTACAATATTAATGAAGTAATGTAAAAATAACACCAGATCAATATATTATTTATTAATAGAAATTTGTATCATGCCTTACTGTGAAAAGTGGGATGTACAGTATAATGTTATACTGTATTTCCGGCATAAAATGCTCTTTATTAATAAATTATACATTATTTCTAGAATAATTCCCTAATATACAGTATTCAATAGGTAAATCATATTTTTATTTTTATTAAATATTTAGCAAATATAGATTTATATTAATAGATAGGAAATTAATTTTCTTGGTAAATCCAAGCTTTTAAAAAATTACTAATTTTACAATTATTTAATTAATATAAATTTAAGAAAATATTAGAAATAGCTAGCATTTATTTTAAATGTTATTGCCAAATTATATGATCAAATAATCTTTATACAAAATAAAAATCTCTCAAAGGGTCACAAAAAATATTTAATTTCGACTTATATTTTGAAAATTATATTTATTTTTGAAATTGAAAAAAGTAAATTTATTTTGTTGAAGTTATTGGAAAAGCAATTCTAGATATTTAATAACAGTTACTGTACAGTATATAACACTACTGTATCATTGATTTAAAATTCTTTGTTTAGTTACGACAATACAGTTAACTGTAGGACTATTGCACTTTTATATTACTAAAACTATTCAAACATTTATTATGTGATAAATACTTGAATTAAATCTATATTTAAATTTTATTCAATGAAATCAAATCAAATAGACAAAGAATATATCATTTGGTAATTAATTATATATTAAATAAATGTCTTTCAACTGATCAAAAGAAATAGCAAAAGAAATGATAAAATAGTCGTTTTGAAAGTATTTTTAGTATATTGCATTTAATATTGAATGCAATATAACATAATATATGACACAATCTAAGCGTTAAGTAATAACTGACTGAAAGAAAATTATTTATACTAGTATTACATTTGATTAAAAGTTTATTTTTGTGTCAAATTACACTCCGAGTGCAGTATATCGGTGATGCCAATATAATATACTGTATCTCAATCTTTTCATTAATATCAGGTGTTTATCATTACTTTAATAAATGATAACTAATTTTATTTGTGAAGAGATTAAATAAGATATGATATTATGTTATACTGTATGATATTACATTTTAATTGATATTGTTAGTCGAGATAATTGTAATACTAAAGAGTTTATTACAGTAAATGGAATACCGTTTAAGTTTTTCATGAGTCTCATCAGTGACTGTAGGAGTTTACCTCCGGTGCCGAAAACGGTCTCTTCATTGCTACCCCTTTCCAGCAGTTGATGACAAGAGAATGTGAAGTCCAGTGCATTCACTCTTTGCAATGGATTTTGATCATAGAATTCCGCAAAATATGACAATATTTTCATGAATTCGTATAAATTGAAAAGGTTTTCCGTTGGTTTCACCACTATTTTGCGCAAATAAGTTCCCATTCGGTTCAGAAAAATCTGTTTAATTCAAGATTCAGTGAAAATTAACTGATATATTGGCATAAAATGGGGTGAAAAGTAAATAAATATTTGGAAATCTATTGGGTAAGAGTACTAAATATACTTATAATATATTATGCTACAGTATTGTTGTAATTGTTTATACGATTGAGTTATGATTTGTATAAATGTTTGTTTTGTTTCTATTCTGAGTACTCGTGTTCTCAATGATTATAATTGTTAACATTGATGGAGACCTGAGTCCTGTAGTGATCGAGTGTTCTCTGATATCCCAAATAGTAGTTGTATTTCCTTTTAGTCAAAGTCGTGTCATTTAATACGAATTTCGACCAAACTTTTGATGAATAAAATATTGCGAACCAATGTCTGCACACCTGAGAAGCGATGTGTCTCTCCTTAATCGATAGCAGACTCAATATCTCCTCCAACAGTACGTCAGGCAATGCCTGCCATCCATACAAACCATCGTCCCTTTTATCACTGAAAACACAATTATATAATACACTTATTTGCTAATCATTTTATTAGCAATTTGTGAGACGTAAACAATAAGTCTAATAAAATTTAATTACTTTCTTTGTAGTTATATCACTCAAACGAAATTCATTGCACTGTATATTTCCTAATTTTAAATAACTTCTAATTATTAATTATTATTTATCTATAGCAGTTATCTAACTATTTATCATTATACTCTATTTATGTATTTATTGGTTTATTAAATTAGATATTAATATTAAGCGAATTTTTGTTAAATTCTTTTCATTTATATTTATAGAATAATAACCTAATAATAAGTCTTAATAACAATATTTTGTTTATGTCAAATCAATTCAATAGGGGATCACCCATTTGTTTCATAAAAATCATATTTATTTGTATTTAATAAATGATAGAACTTGAAATAATTAACCAAAAACATTAGTTAATTATTCAATATTAAGTATTTTGCTATAAATTGCAAAAAATATATTTTATTGACTTGTGAGTCTAAATTGAATAATGAAAATATCGATTATATTGAGTATAAAGTGTGTTGAATGCAAATATGATGTCTCGATAATACCTTATATCGAAATCTTGTTGAGAAATAGTTTGAGTTTGACTCATATTTTCGATGTTTTGGATGTATTTTCGACACTTGATAGCTTGGATCAAGTATTGCCAATTGACAGTATCCAGTGCTCACTACCCGTGCTGTTCAACAGTCTGGTGCTGAACAGTGACTGCAATACAGTATTGGTTTCACAGTAATAGGTATTAATCAAATCACTTCCGCAATCAATGGCAAAACTTTGTATCAAATGTTTTTCGCACTGAAATGCAATTAATTTTTTATACCGATAGCGTATTGTACCGTATATAAATCACTGGAAAATATAGTTTATATTTAACAATAATTAATTTTATAAACGAATTCTTAAATTCTTATGATATATTAAATCTGTCCAAAACTATAAGCAATAAAACGTGAATTCCGTATAAACAGCGTTTGAAACTCTAATATATTATGATTTATAACTACTATATCAAATAATATATTAAATTCCGTAATCACATCTTATTAAACACTTTCTCGTGGCTTTACATTTTGTTTTTCAAATTTAAATACATTTATTTAATATATATGTAATTCCGTTTACATTTTAAGCCATATTCTGTGACGTGTTTATAATATTTAACTTTTACCACACATTATATGTGCGCTATTTTGACGGTTTATTTGCAACCCATGCTATTAATAACTGTTAAGTTTTATGGCGTCCTTTGGGTTTAGGTTTGGCCTCAAAAAGCATTTGATGGCACGCTATAAAGAATCACAGAATTGTAGTCAACACACAACTGTATTGGGAACGGGAGGCCAGTTGTGAGTGAAGGGGGAGATGGCTAATAATTATAACTCTTTAGATTGTGAATAATTTTTTAGATCTAGGTGTTATATTATGCAAATCGCATCACCAGCCCTGTACTTAGACTTATGACATAACTGTCACCTAAACCATCACTTTAAACGCATATTACTGAATTTAGTAATTGATTTAATCATATAAAGTGTATTTTTGTATAAGTTGTGTGCAAAAAGTGAAAGTTTGCCGACCTTTATTTTTATGAGTTTATTTTGATTATAATATAGAGAATCGATTTATGACTGCAACTATAATATTAATAGCAATAGTAAATAGAAAATTCTTGTTAAGTGTAGCAAAAATGTTATAAGGCTTTCATCAAATATTCATATATTAATAATTAGGACACATTTTCTAATTGAAAAAACTTTTTGAAATTATTAGCTAAAATATAATTAATTAAAATATAAAAATGCTTAAAAGCAATATAAACGATAATTTGTACATAGAAAATATTACAATTTAGAAAATTCCTTCAATTAGTGACAATTCAATAGTAAATAAATTTGAACAAAATATTACTTATTTGTAATTTTGAGTATCTGTTGTATTTACTGTATTAATACAATTGTCATTTATTTTTGAGAGACTTTTCAAATGAGTATAAAAGACAATATAAAAGAGGAAATACAGTACTTCTCTGTTCCGTATAAATAACTTGTAATCTATATCTACTGTACACTATATAATAATAATATACTGTACTTTTATTTGAAACAAATAGTTTCTAGTAGTGTTCATGTGATAGCTGAATGTTATTCAAAAATTTTACTTTTTATTTTTTATACTAGATATTACAGTAACAACAATCATAATGTAATATTATATATGGTATAATAATAGAAATGATCCCATAATACAATGTATAAGACGAGTGCTTATATCGAAAGCTTTAATTAAGTGCATCAATGAGTGAATGAATCAATTTTGTTACAAAGAATTTATTACTATAAGGATTACAATAATAAAAACCTAATAATCTATTGGCTATTAATAGTAGCGTAAGATCGGGTAATAAATTTTGTATTATGTTTTGTTGTTGTTGAAAAATTGCAATCAAAGTGATTTCATATTTGTTGAAATAAGTTTGGCATTTTGATTGTTTGACAACAAAATTGATGAAATCATATCCTCTTTTACGAACGAAAAGACAAAACTCTATATAAATAACAGAAAATTCAATAAATTATTGTTATCGACGACTATAGAGAGCGCGTAATCCATAGCCTGTGTGTCGGTGTAGTGGTTGGCGACACAGAATCGTCAGAATCTGTCAGAATCGGTGGGTTAGGCGGCAGTGTAGTGAGTGTTGGCGATGGTCTCCATGGCTACGAAACATCCTTCTCCTCTACGAAGCTATTAGAGAGTAGTGTAGAGTAGAGTAGATCTCATAAACAAAACTAATACCAATAGTTAGTGATTCTCAGCAGTGATAAGGCAGTGAACGTTACATTTTTTCCATTCAAACCCAACTCTCTCTGTATGTCAGACACACACTTGTAGAGTAGAGTAGATCTCATAAACAAAACTAATACCAATAGTTAGTGATTCTCAGCAGTGATAAGGCAGTGAACGTTACATTTTTTCCATTCAAACCCAACTCTCTCTGTATGTCAGACACACACCGAAACCAAACACACATTTTGTCACATTTGATTCGTTATTTTTATGAAAATAAAGTCTTGTTTAATGCCTTAAAAAGTTCTTCTCGATGAGAGATAAACGTCGCTTTTGTATGCTATCGTCAGAATTGAATGATTTTTTCTCGAACATAGAGTTATGAATGAATTTCTTGACTTTAATATCAAATGTTTGAGAACTACTAACAGAGAGAAGTGATATTCAGTGTTGTAATAGTGTTTGAAACACACATTTCAAAAGCACCAGAATGTGTGCTAAATGTATGAATAGTTTTGTTGTCATACATTACGAAAGTCATATATAAAATTAAGACAAACTAGAATTTTTGCTATTTTTATTTTATTTGACAAAACAACTAATTTTCGCTAAATTTTTGTGTTACAGAAATTGTTTCATTAGTTATATTGTATTCATAAATACAGTGCTATTTAAAAAATGTGAGCCAAAGGAAAGTGTCATTTAATGTGCAATCGATTCCCAAACATGAAAAGCAAAGAAAGTAAACTTTTTTGTGCGAAAAACTCTAATATAAACAGCAATTAATCCCTAAAAAACGAAATCAACTTTATTGTGACACTAGTATTACAAATGTCTTCAAGTCTTAATGTCTCGCAAAGTATTAATAAAGTTAACAGCAATACAAACAGTGATGTGACTATCGGTGAGGTGCGAAACCTGGATGACTCTAATCAGAGCACGTCCTCCTCAACCACTTTGGACCAGACGCCCAGTGCTTGCTATGGGTCTAATGGTCACGAATCGGATGCCATCAATAGGGAAGCCGTTTCACCAGAATCTGAAGAAGGGTCGGGAGTTGTGTTCAGTTTTAATCGCAGTCTAAGACAACAGCAGAAGAGTGTGTGCTTTCACAGCATCACCGCTCAGTCCGGAGAGAAAAAAGTGACGAATGGTAAGCAAAATATCTTTAATTAACATTTTATATACAATATGTCATATCTATTGCTATACTGTTATGTCGCTTTTTATGTAAATAACCATAAGACACAGATAGAATCGTCTGTCAATATACAAAACTGTTATTTAAATTTCGGCTTTGTGTAGCTTAGCGACCTCTTATAGTTACCAAATGAGCTTTATATCTTTAACATTGCTATAACAAGTGAAACACATTTCCATTTACTTTTACGGCTCATTCTTTAAAGACATGTTATGTTCACATTCTCTGACGACAATTACTCTACTTTTACTCCATAATAGTTTCATATAATGCAGTCTGACTTGACTTTATTTGCAATCATAAAAAAATAATTTACGAATTTTTTAAAATAGATATTTTGTTCATAGCCGTTTTACTCTGAATAACTTCTTGCTATTTAAGTTTTATTATTATTTGTATCATTCTTTGGAGTAGTTTTTCAATTTCATGAGCTATTACTCCGCAGACACCATACAAAAGTAGTGTAAATAAATTTGGTACTCATCTTTTTCTGACACTTTATTAAAAGTCGACACTTTTTTCTAATAAACGCTATTTTCACATAAATTTTTTCAACTAATTTATGATTACATAACACAAAATGATTGCGAATATAATCACTTTGTTTATTGAATGTCTGGCGGAGTGTGTGTTTAGAAACACTTTTTAATAACTTCTCAAAACTTAGACTAAAAAACATATTACGAAAATCGCTTAAAATATATGAAGTGAACTTAAGAAAACATAAATAATTATAATATATTGACAAACTTTGTTTAAAAACTAACAATTTTTAAAGCAAAAATACATTAATTTTCGCATGAATTTTACACATAACTGATATAAACCTTAAGCTTAGGACAGAAGCAATTTATTTGTTTATTTTAGTGATCAATCATAT